CTAGATGTAGACCCGAGTCTCAGGGCCATGTCTAGTAGACCGGAGCCCCCTTTTTTCCTAAAACCAGCCAATAGAGCCCCAAAATCTTAAAAACATTTTCACTAGGTATTACCAAAAAAAAACAACCAAAACTTGCAAAAAGAGCCCTTAAATTTACAAATAGGTCCCCTAAAATTGCTGCTTCTCCTCCATACAGTGTTTGTGTGTGGTTGGGGGAGGGGAGCCTAGCCACGGCTCTGGATATACTAATATTAATATTTTAAAGTGAAATGAATTTTCTTCGTGTTTTAGGTTTTATCATAAATCATTAATAGATTGAATTTAAGAATGTTAGAATTAGAATTTTAGAATTAGAATTAGAATTTTTTTTTTTTTTTACAAGTAGAGTTTTGGAATAACTTGTTACAATTTTTTTTTTTTTAATATTTTTTTTAAGTTTTATTTAGGTACCCCAAGAAGTTATTACGGTATTGTCACAGAGCACTGCGGATGAGCATTTAATAGGAAGGTCACTCATCCTTCCTAACCGATGTCGCAAAACTTGCCCAGAGGTGGGGTTTGAACAACGGATCTTTTGTTTCTGAGGCAAGTGCGCTACCACTGCGCCACGGCTTTATTAGTTAAGGTGGTAAGCTGGTAAAAAAAACATGAAAAATTAGTATTTTTTTTTAACATAGATTTTAAAAGTATATATTGTTATTGCATTTTTTTTATTTTTTATTTAAAAAAACAAGGGTTTTTAGGGTATGGCAAAAATTTTGTTTTAAAAATTTTTGCGGTACACTAATATTGAAGATCCTGGAGTCTGTCACCAGTTTTGTCCTCACACTAATGATAGTTGGTGTAATTATTGGAAAAATATCAAGCGATACAAACTATCAGTTAATTTACCAACTGCATTGAAAACTGTAATGTATCCAATTTTTAAGGATTTACGTAGCGATGATCTTTTGTTACTGTTACGATGGATCCATTCAAAACCCAAATAAGGCTCTGAATCAAATTGAGTGGAAAACGTGTCTAAAAAAAACTTTTATTTCAAAAACCACTTTAGAAATTGGAGTTGCATCTGCAATGGTAATTTTAATGATGGCATCTGGACTTGTATGACTTTTTGATAAAAATAAATTATCTTTTGGAACAAAAACAATTATAGGTTCAATCAAAAAACACTTCGAAATATAGGTGCCCCAAGAAGTCCTTACGGTCAGAGCACCGCGGAAGAGCAGATAGGAAATTCACGCCTCCTTTGATATATATATCCATTGATAGGAAACTCACGCCTCCTTCCCAACTGATGTCACAAAACTTGCCCAGAGGTGGGGTTTGAAACACGAATCTTTTGTTTCTGAGGCAAGTGCGCTACCACTGCGCCACGGCTGCTATGTATTGTTTTCTTAGTTTTCCGAAATCTTATTGTAGATTAACGAAAACACAGATTTTGGAAGGTCTATTTGAGCTTTCATCTTGAAATTTTCAACATTTTTTAACTTATAGAGCACTAGTACCTAAAGCAGAATAAAGCTGTATACTCAAGTTCTTAATGAGAAATCAGTCACTGAACATTGAACTATTTATCTAAAAAAATTAAAATTAAAAGAACATCCGCCATTTTGGAACGGTTGATCAATTTTTAAAAATTTTGCTTTAGGCACTAGATAATTATATATATATTTTTTTTAGCTTATTTTTAAAATTTTTGCTGACTCATTAAAAAATAATTTATTTTTTGAAGATTTTTTTTGCTTGTAATATTTATTTTTATGATGACTGTAGTGTGTTAATTTCAGTTTCAAACAATAAATATTAAACATTCTAATTTTTTTACCAGCTTTCCACCTTAACTTAAAAAAACTTTTTCATTAAATATTAATATAAAAAATTTAATTAAAACTTTCTTTCGTTCTCTGATTATTTTTAAACAAAAGAGTTTTCATGACACTATTATTTTACGAAGTACGTTTTTATAAAAGAAATTCGAAAAATTGCGTTAATACTTTTGTTTATGTAGGGGAGCAGGAGGCAGTTTAGGACAGGGGCAGTTTTGGACAATGCAAAATATTCAAAAAATACAAACTTTTCAGCCAAGTTAAGTATAACAGTCGATTTGACATAAGCTTCACAGGGTTTCTTTCACGAAGGCGGCTAGTGAGCTACAAGTGTTTTATAATTTTCGATAGTTTTTCTAATTTTTTTAATTTTTAAGCGAAAGAGTTACAATCAAACTTACATTTTATAATAGTTTTTTTTTTTTACATTTTCAGTGAAATGGATATTTTCTGCAATGTAAATAAAAGTTCAACAATAAAAACATAAATTCTTCACAAAAAGTTGTGAAGTGTTTCCTGAGATTAGGGTGGAGGCAGCATTGGACAATTTTCATAAGGCAGGTTAGGACAAGTTGCGCGCCTAATAACAAACTTATCTTCAAATAAATTTACATTAAGTTAAAAAATAGTGTGCAATTATAAAAAGAAATGCAACAGATTTATAAGTGAAG